ACACATCCCCTTCTTCGGGTCGAGTTAAAACTGGGGTGGTACCTAAGTATCTTTTCAGCTCATGAAAGGCGAGCTGGCATTATTCAGTCCATTCGAAGTCCTTACTCTTTTTATGGCTTTAAAAAAGGGTAGGCACAGGTCTACCGACTTGGACATGAAACGGCTCAGGGGGGCTATCAGACCAGTTAGCCTCTGAACCTCTTTTACTTTCCAGGGTGGTCTCAGATCTAGAATGTCTTTTATTTTATTTGGGTTGGCCTCAATGCCACGTAGATTGACTATATAGCCTAAAAATTTACCCGAAGTGACTCCGAAGACGAACTTATTTGGATTTAACTTCATGTTATATCTTCGCAAAATTTGAAAAACATTCTTTAAATCATTCAACAAAGAATCTGAAAACTGGGTCTTCACGACCATGTCATCAACATAACATTCTACTTTATTGCCAATTAACGGCTCAAAAATCTTATTTACAATGCGCTGAAATATTGCCCCAGCATTTTTTAATCCGAAGGGCAAGACCTTGTAATAGTATAACCCGAGCTTAGTTATGAAGGCGGTCTTCTCTTCATCAGCAAGATCCATCCTAATCTGGTTGTAACTAGAATAGGCGTCCAGGAAGCTCATCAATTCATGCCCTGAGGTTGCATCCACTAGGCGGTCGATCTTGGGTAGCGGGAAGTAATCCTTCGGGCAGGCTCTGTTCAAGTTGGTGTAATCGACGTACATGCGCCACTTGCCATTGGCTTTTTTCACTAGAACCAAGTTAGCCACCCAGCTCGGGTAATGGACTTCCCTGATGAAGTTTGCTGCGAGGAGCTTCCCAACCTCTTCATCGACTACCTTCCAACATTCCGATGCGAGGTTGCGCTTCTTCTGCCTTACTGGCCTGACTAAAGGGTCAGTATTCAATTCTCCAAGCAAAAACATCTAAGTTTTCAAGTAAGAAACTTACCAGCTGGGAGCAAAGAGGTCCGTTGATCGAGGCACCGATCCGGAGAGTCTTGGCTGGTTCGTCAACAGAGACCGGTATGTGGACCGTCTCCTCTTTCGGGGCAGCTTGCTCGTCGGTATACTCTGCTGGTAGCGCGAGCTCGACATCCTCTACTAGCTTTGCTTTTCCTTTTAGAGTAGCCACATAGCACTTGCGTGATTCGAGCTGGTCACCTCGCACGACTCCCACTCCGTAATCAGTTGGGAACTTCATCGCCAAATAGTAAGTGGATAATATCGCACGTAGAACATGCGTGATGGGCCGACCTACTATGGCGTTGTAGGGGGAGGGAATCGCAACTACCAAGAACATATGCTCAAATCGCAAGATGTTTGGCCACGTGCCGGTTTCCACGGGTACTGTGATTCGACCAAGAGGTCTGACCTCCTCGCCGTTGAACCCTACCAAAGGAGTATCTATCGGTCTCAGGTCGCTTTGTTGTAACTATAATTTGTCGAAGGTCTCCTTAAGTATATCTGTTGAGCTGCCTAAGTCTACCAAGATGCACTTTACCTCGAAGTCATTAATTCGTAGCTTCACCACTAGGGCGTCGTCATGAGGGTACTGGATCCTGCGTGCATCATCCTCAGTGAAGTATATCGGTTCTTCGAGCTGAGGTCGCTTTTGCGGGTTTTCCTCTTCGTTCTCTAACTCGCGGACCAAGGTCCTCCCGGCTGTTGATGTACATCCGGCGATGATGGACCCGCCGGTGATCATGTTAATTACCTTGCGGATCGGCCTTTCCTTTGGAAACTATCGTGGTGGTTGCTCATTCTGCCTGCTAACCTCAGGGCCATTCCTCCTCTAGTCCCCTTGTCGATCTGCCTACTGATCTATTTGTCCCCTCTCTTCTTGCAAGATGAAGTTCTTCAGGTATCCGCGTTGGATAAGTTCCTCGATCTCGTCGCGGAGATTCCTGCAATTCTCTGTGTTGTGTACATAATTTTGGTGAAAATGGCAGTAAACATTTGGGTTTCTTGTTGCGAGGTCTCCCTTTAGCCTGCGAGGCCATTTGACGAAGGAGGAGTCCTTAATGGCCATTAGGATCTCTCATCTCTTAGCGTTCAAAGGCGTGTAGCTCGTTCTCTCCACAAGTGGGGCCTTGGAGCGCCAACCTGATTTGCGAGTTCGCGAGGGAGACCGGCTTCTTGAGTTGTTTCTTCCCCTGCTCGGGAACTTGCTTTTCTTCCTTTTCTGTCCACCATTGCTCGTTCATTCATTCTCTCTCTTCCTCTTTTCCAGCAGTGGGTTGTCGATCTTTTGATTGATCTCCTCTCGGTACCGATGAACTGATCCGCTAACTTAAGGAAGTCGGTGATGTCCTTTGGTTTGTTAGCTACCACATGCCACTTAAACTCTTTGTGAGTGATTCCTTTCTTTGCTGCAGTGAGTCGTACCATCAGGTTGAGGTCCGATGTCTGCAAGCAAGTGTCGTTGAAGCGCTTGATATATCTTCTGATCGATTCTCCTTCCCTCTGAACCATGTTTTGGAGGCTTTCCTAATACTTCGGACACTTCTTGCTAGTAATAAAGTGCGCAGTAAACAAGTCGGCGAACTAAGACTAGCTTTTGATAGAGCCCGATGCGAGATTTCGGTACCAAGTTCGGACTACCCCCTTAAACGTAGTAGAGAAGGCCACACACATGCAGGACTCATCAGCCCCAACTAGGTGCATCTGAGACTGGAAAGAGTCCACATGGTCATTGGGGTCGAAAGACCCGTCATACTTGTCTAATGGGGGTATCTTAAAATCCTTTGGCATTGGAGTTGCCAAGAGCTCGGGAGACAAAGGGGATGACCGGCAAAGTAGTGAAGGTGCAGTCTTTGTAGCCACCGAGCTCGCTTCTTCCTTTCCTTTGGTTTGCTCTTCTTGCTGACTTGGCTTCGCTGGCGGGCTGTTCCTGACCGAGGGGAGGCGTGTTTTGCGACGTCGCCGCTGCTGTTTCTTCACCAGCTCGGCGTTGGTGCTACTGACTTCAGTATGGTCTGGTATTTCGGCCTTGTCGCAAGGTAGATCATGGTTCCTTGTGGGATTCTGTAAGTTGTGGGGCTCGAACTGGCTATCACGAGGGACGGAGAGGCCTTGTCTCGAGTTTGCACCTCGAAACCCAAACTGGTTATCTGCTCGTGAGCCGTCATTTTCTTGTTGTGAGTACCAAGGCGGATTGGGCAGACTATTCCCGGACCTATTTCCGAGATTTCCTTGCGAAACTGGAGAAGTGTGCTGACCGTCTCTCCTTCCATGGGGCAAAACTTGACTCCTAAGAGGAATCGGTACTTGTGAGGTCTCTTCGCCCTGATGGGGAGATCAGGTGATGTTCTGGTTAGTTCCAAGCTGATTCGGGTTTTGACCCTAATGGGGCCTTGGGTGCCGAGGTGGAATCGGCTGCTGGTTTGGCTGTAGTGGTAGGAACTAGTGTTGATACTGTTGATAATGTTGGAACTATTGGACCTGCTGCATCTGGATCTGAATAGCTTGGACGCACTGAACGAGGTCATGAAACTGTGAATGCTCGATTCCAGGGGGAACCACAGATGACTCAAAGAAAGTTGTGCCTACCACTGGGGGAAGTGGGACGCTCACTTGCGTGGTGCTCGGTGATGCGGGCAGTGATGGGACTCCGGACGCTGTGAGCGAAATAGTGAACTGGCCAATGCACACCGTAGGAGCTTGAGGGAAGGTTGATTGTTACGCTTGCCCCCCGGTGATGTTCATCTCGACACTTTTTCCGGTGTGGCTGGAGAATGCCATTGAGGTTGAGACTAAGTTTGAAACTGTAAAGAGATAGGGATGACCTTTCGATCGTTTCCCACAGACGGTGCCAATTGATGGTGCGCGATCTGGCTACTCCTAGTTGGAGGGCGATCCGAACTCCAAATGGGCGACGAGCTGGATCAATCTGCAAAACAATGGATCCGAGAACCTGGGATAGTTAACCCGACGAGGTCACTTCGATGCTTAAGTCAATACTTATGCTGTGAATGCGAGCTGAATGCTTGAGAGCCTGAGTGCTAGTGAGTAAAATAATCATGCATACATTTGCCTTGAGATTTCAAGTCTTTATTTACTAGAGCAATTGTGGGCCTTACGAAGGAGCTCTGGGATCTCCGGGCTGTGGAGATAAGGTTGGTTCCGTTTTTGAAGGAGAGCAGTATGTTGATAAGGTTTATTGTCTACCTCCGATTCAGGTGGAACTGGGATGAATTCTTATCGTGATCTCAATAAATTCGGGATCTGTTGGCTCATCGTGACCTCAAGAGATTCGGGATCTATTGAAGAGGCCTTTAGAGTCGGTTATGTGACATTTCGGCTCATTAGCTCGGAGCTAGAACTTCGATTCTTTAGTCCCAAACTGGATTGGGTGTCGAAGTGACTCTACACCGAGGTGGATTTTAGGCCAAAGTGGCTAAATGCCCAAACTCTAAATGTTGCGAACCGGGCTTGCCTGAGTGAGTTGTCATCCTTCGATTAAATTGTGCCTATTGTCCCCTTTTAGCTAAATCGTGTCAAATCACCCTTCATCAATCGGATACCAACCACCACGGTCAAAGTGCCAATTGACAAAATACTTCAAGGGTCCCACATAATTTCTTAGGCTGCATTATCAAAAACCGATAGAGTGTAGTTATTATCAACGTAAAATTATACTTTGATTCAGTTTTGCATTCATTTGAATGGAGTGTAATTTTACATCGATAATAGATGTAAAACTTCATCACCTGTAAAATTTTACACTCCCACCCACCCATCACTATTTTCAAAAGAGCAAGGGTGACTTTCTGGTTCATTATAAAACATCATCTGATTCCAAACGCATCTTTTACAATTCTCTTTCGCTCAACTTTCTAATTTTCTTATTTTCTGTCAAAGCCAAACACATCTTAAGACCTTCCACACCTGCGCTTCGGCTTCGCCTCCTTATCATGCGCTTTCCATCTAGAATTCCTCGTAGTCGTATAAGAGGTTTCCAAAATCAAATTCCTTTGAAGGCCCATTATTAATAAAAAGAAAAACACGATGACAAAACAGATCACATTAATGACAAGAAAGATCAAATTGCACCCTTTTTTTTTCCTTCTTTTTGTTTATGTACATAAGCTACAGATAGAGAAGAGAGAAAGAGAACCCCTTGCTTCTAAACAGAGCCCTTACTTCCCGGGGAATCCGAGAAAATACTTGCACCAACGATTGGCAACTTCTAAGAGCAAATTATAAAGATTAAGAAAAAAAGATGTATAATCAATTCTCCACAATTCTTGGGCCTCTATACATTGCTCCCACAACCAAAAGGTTCTCTGGGTTCTCTATCTCTTCAAGCCATGCATATCCCTCCCTCTCCTCCTCAGGCACCAATCTTTCGTCACCTGAAAATCACATAATACCCCTCTTAAGCTATAGGAAAACGTTACGGAAATCCTCTGAGATTGCTCTACTTGTCTTATGGATGTGATGCATAAAGGTACTCAATCAATACACCATACGTCCTCAATTTTATTTAGGTTATTTATTAAATGAGATCAGTTCTGGGTTCAGTCATTCAGTTATTCCCAGAATCCGTCTCTACCTTACCATTTTTATCCTTGAATCAAACAGAAAACCTCCCTAGATCCAAGATTTCTTTTTCCTTCGTATTAAATAACATTGTTGGATCACAAACAGTGCAGCTCCAAAAATCAAGCAACAAGATACCTGAAAAGCTGGCGTACGGGAAGTCGTGGTAATATGTGCAAGGTCGGCCTTCAGAGTCAGAATACGGTGGACCCAGCACATCTAGTACAGCACAGGATGTTAATGCTGTGAAACAGTGCATGTTTCCTCCATCAGCAGGATAGAGTATGGAGGTGTTGCATGGGGCAGTGAAATCCGAATCAGTCTTGATCTTTGCCAACCGAATCCCATGGGGCTGAACTGCAACCATTAACAAAGGCAAGGGGTCAGTAGAGGCTTTTCAAAGGATTAGGAGGAGAGGAAAGATACAAAGATCCAAGCAACCACCAAATTTGAGGGAGATGAAAGGTAAACGAGAAGGAAATTACAACCAATAGACTTGGAACCTGTGTTAAACGCTACCAGAACAAACACATGATTGCCTCTAACCTAACGAAAAAAACCAATAGGCACTGAAAGCAAAAAAAAATAATAATAATAATTGAACCAACCCTGCAAGTCAAAACATCCATCTCAAACATAAACATATGATATTGGAGACAACTGGATAGACCAAAACCATTTGATGCATTATTATTTAGGCATCAGAGATAGTGGAAGGTCCACAAGACTATGTTGAACAGTAAGGATAACCCAACCAAGTCTATCATTGACTAAAGACACAAACAGCTAGTCCAGACTTCCACATGCAACAGGAGTGCAGCACAAAGTAGGAACAATTGACCAGTGACCACCCTCTCCCCCCACTTTCAAAATAAATAGCTGGGAACTTCTTTCATTTCAATTTGTTTCTTCCCCCAATACAATAATAAGTCTTCTGTCCAATTCAATGGCAGAGATTTTATCCGTGCTCCAAGCACATCTTATTTCAAAGTGCCCCTTGCAGTCAATATCCTGCAATTGCTTCCAAACCAAAAGTACCTTTTGGGGCCAAGAAACCCTCATGGTAGGCCAAGTGGTCTGCAGGACGTACTAGCTACTTTAGACACATCCGTGCACATCTCAACAGTATCTTTGTATACTAACATTTAATCAGGCAACACAACTGTAGTAATTGACTAATTGTCACAAGTGGGTAAAAATGTCTAAATAGCTCTCTCTTCATAACCAGTTTACTGCTTTAGTGTATATCATCCTCATTTTTAAAGCAAGCCAGTTTCTTTTACCTTTACTCCTCTGTTCCTCATGAAGGCAAGAATAGTTGGGGTATCCTGCACCTATATAATCACTACAAGATAATACATATCATAATTCAATCTCCGTGGTTCCCTCTAGATGTGAATTCTAAAAAAAAAAAAGAAAAAGCAAACAAAAAAAAATGGATAACAAGAACTTTTCACAACTTGGAGCTTTAAAAAAATTCCCCCATCCACAGCCACCAATATGAAAGGTTGCACTCATATCAGTCAACTATCAAAGGTAAGCATAGGATTTTCATTTAAGTTTCAAAATAAAGAGAAAAAGGCAGTTAAAAAACATAAGCAATAGAAAGATAGCAAACGGGCCATTAGCAGAGAGCATATGAAATTATGAACAGTCTCAAGGTAACCAATCAAAATTACAAAAAAAAAAAAAGAATCCAAGGTGAACTTGAGAAAACTTACTGTGTGAGTTGAGATTCTGGTTTGTGGCATGGGGCAAGTCGGTTGCCCAGTCAAACGATTTGATGTGCATGGATCCAAAGAGTAGCTTGCTGAAAACAGTCATTCCCGGATGATTATGTAGTGGAATGATAGCAGACGGAGGCAAGCAGAATATCCCAATCTGCAAGCACCCAAGTAATAGACTTCAGAGAAGCAATTAACACTGATTAACTTCCAACGCAACTAGTAGTCAATCTTCAAGGCCCCAGAAAATCTGACATACCGAAAATCTACTGCATTCATAGAGGTGTAGGTATGTGATTGGAGGGATGCCTTCAGGCTCATTTGCCCTAAAGTATGGCATATCTGGACTCAGACCAACATCCGCCGGTTGCATGTGATCTACAAAAAGACATGAAAAGTTATTCACATAAGCATCAAGCTCTAATCAGAAAAGTACGTAAGCAAGATGGAAATTTCTAGAAGTCCACTTCTTCAAGATATGGAGAGCAGACAATTACTTAATATATGTATTACTTAGATGTAGGATTTAATTAATGAACTTATTTACGCATACATGTTTAGCATAGAAAAGCGTGGAGACCAGCACATGATGGCCAATTAGCAGCCAAGAGAACGTTTTCACTTTTTAGATGCCTTGTTAAGAAAACGAAAGGAATCTCAAGAAGGATATTCGCAGAGATGAAGAAAATTATAATGAGAATACATTATATAGCATCTGTATAGCCTCTAAAGGGAGGTTCGATTAAACCGGCCCAAAAGGAAACAAATCAAACACAACCCAATAAAAGAAAACCCATGTAACAAATAACAGCCAAGCAACAAAAGTTCCACAAAAAGTTATAACCATACAAAAGATGAACAGCTTACTGGTGCGTTGATTTAATAGGGCATTCGTAAGCTGAAAAAATAAAAAAAGAAAATTTTTGCTAGAAAAATATGAGAGAGAGAATATAAGCAGCATTGTAAAATCTCGGGCTGACAAGCGTGAGAAGCGGGTTTCAGACTAAAAAGAAAATATCGAAGGTTAAGTCACACCCCTCCCAAAAATAAAAATAAAATAAACTGGATACTCGGGACCAAAGTAATGGCCGTAAAGAAGCAATCAGCATATCCCACCCAAAGAGCAAACGTGAGCTGACCTCTTGCGTTCCTCTGTTTCTTGAGTCTTGTTTCCTTTTACTGCCAATGAAGCTCATGACAGCATGAATGAAAATGATACTAGAAACCCAAGAACAAGGCAACCTAAGAAATGGGGTGGTCATATCAAAATCCTACCTTCGAGCATTAATCAGAGGAGAGGAACAAGAGAAAAGAGATTACCAAATCCAGCTAAGAGAAGGCGCGAATGTAAAATCAGTGATTCATAGTCAAGCAAATAAGAAAACCCAATTCTCAAGGCAGCATATCAGCAGTTTCCATTCCGAGAAAGAATACATACAATGTCATTGGAACATCAATGGGTTTTCGTTAAGTTAATCAAGAAAACTTAAATATAATTGAATTCCTAATTCTAAGACATAACCGAACAGGAAGAGTAAAAAAGGAAAGCAGGCAATATTCGAATAGGAAGTCAGAAGGCCAGAACCACTAAAAGTGTTCAACGACGGACCCGGAACGCAGAGAAAGGGAAGCACGTACCGAGAACCGACCGCAGTCGTTCGACATCCCTACGAGACGGAACAGTCCCAGCACCACCCCTGGCAAACACTTCCGTGCACGTCCAGAAGAGCTCCTGAACGACGTTCGGCATCGATTTCTTGCGCCTCCGGTTCTTCTTGGGTTTGCTGCTGTTGTTGTTCCGCTCCTCAGGTAATTCCCGAAATTCCTGCTCTTTACGATCTCTCAGGTTCGTTTCAATCCTCATTTAAATCAAAAGAACCCAGGGAGCCAGAAGGATAGCCACAATAACGCAGGAAATCCGAGATGGGTATCCGATGATACCCAATAAAATGCAGGATAAAGAGGCGGGTATCGACGAGCGAGGACAATCAAAAATTGTCCAAGAGAGACTCTAATAGTGGTTGTACAGAGAGAAAAGAGTAGAGATGCTGTGATATTTTTAGGTTAGTTTAATAATTTTGGTTACTGTTGGGGTGTTGGGGGGGAGAGAGAGGAAACAGAGGGGGGGTGGGGCTGGATTTCCCTGTAGAAAGCAAAGGCGAATGGGGGTATAAAAGGAGACACGTTAGGGTTTTGACGAAATATTATTTGTTTTGGGAATGAAAACCAGGGGCCATGATATAACTTTCCGGTGGGCTATTCAAACAGCGGATTTTTATCCACCCCCCCTACAAAAAGGAGAGGTTGCATGTGGACCGGATCCACCTTCTATACGTAATACAAGCCAGAATTCCAAATAACAATTACTTAACCCACTATACCCGTGTATCATATCATATCTTATTATAAATGTACTTACCACTAGTTTATTAACAATTTCTTTTATTTTTTATTTTTCCTTTTTCAAAGAATAATTACCATACTGGTTGTTTGGTGAATGAATTTCTTTTTTGATATACATAGTACACATTACAGGAAAATCGGAGGTGGGGCAGAGCAGGGTACACATGAGATTTATTGACCATACCATGGAGAGTTTGTAGTTTTGCAATTTCATATCTGCTTTTTATTTAGATGGGTCAAGTGATCATATCTACGGGGTGATTTGTGGGTTTGATCTTCTTCCTCCCATTTGGATGGACCAAATGAAAAAACTTTGGCTGTTTGAATAAAACAGTTTGGACTTTAGACTATTCAGTCCTTTATTTATCTTTTTAATTAAAAAAAAAAGAAAATCATCATTATAATTACTTTTTTACCCCCACATCCATGCTAACGTGTCACACACATGAGGCTCTAAAGTCAAACAGCCAAAGTTTGCTTTATCTACAACTAAGGTCATCACATTGAATTAGTAATAAAATAAGTAAAATGGCATCAACCAAAATATTTATAGAAACACATGATTAATGTTGTTAAGAACTTTTCTGATTATCAGATGAGGATCTAATTGTCATTTTCTTGTTTAACTGTATCTATCGTCAAATTCAAGCGCCCATAGTTATGGCAGTGCCAAAATGGATTGACAAAACAGGATTCATGTAAACAATCCATTATCCAATATTCTTGGGGCTAAGATTAGATGATGGTGCAAGTTACATTTTGAGGAATACTAGTAAATAAAGAGTTGTATGCAACCCTTGGTTCTGTCGGCCTTAAAAAATTTTGTCGTCGTGTTATATTAAGTATGCATTTATGTCTATGTTAAGCGGGTGAAAAGCAATATCTTATGAAAACCCTCAGGTTGATCTCCTTCAACTAAATAAAAAATAATAATAATAATAATCAATCGCGCATCATATTACCACCCCAGTATAACTGAAATATTTTTAAATTCAAAGCTTTCCACTTGTGCGTTGAATGAAGAACCACTTTAGGCTAAAGAATTGATTATCACAGATCACAAAGGATTCCACTGTTTAGGTTATTTTGTCTTCATGAGTTGAAAATGACTTGCACAATTGCTTCCTTCTTAACATTTCAAAATGACTCGCAAGTTACCATTGCTTTATCCAAGTTTTCATGAAAAAAGAATATCTAAATGCGCTTATCACTTCTTAAAGCTTATATATGTGACGTATAAAGTGAACCTGATGAGGGGAAATTTGGCCCGACCTCACGATCGCCCGACACGTGGCAGAGACAAGCAGCTCGGGACAGTAGAGCGCCTGAAGCGAACATCGGAAACAAGTCCAAGCTCACTACCAAGCCCGAACTCCAGACCGCTATACTGAGTCCGAGCTCCCTTTTAAGAGCGAGCTCCCTGTTAAGGGTCCGAGCTCCCTAAGTAAGAACCCGAGCTCCCTA